TTTTTTTTATTATCAAAATAACAAATATTTCTTGTTATAAACTAAAAAAATCCTTACTTTTTAAAAAAATTTATCAACCATAGTTTTTATACTCTTGGTTTCAAATTACCTAATAAAAAATACGTTAATTTAAGTAACCACAAGGGTGATACCTAATTGGTTTGAGCTTGACTCCAAAGGTCAAAARTGTCTGGAGATCCCATGTTCAAATCCAAGAAGGAACAAAAATCCCCTTGTARTCACGGAGGTTCAAATGCGGTGGGCCCTGTTTTTATGTTCACCCAGGGACCATAAAATGTCAGAAACGGGCCTGTATATACATATTTTATATCATCCAAGTTGACGTGTACTTATAGYCTCATTTTCTAAGTTCAACGCACTTTAACACTTTGACGAGTGATTTGTTCGAGTAATTGTTTAATGTACTTAATTGGCAGCTCCGAGCGTCTTTAGAGCTCCAAGTGAATTTCCTACTACGGCTGCTTGGGGTGAATATGCTTTAAGACAGGTAGTATCACCGTTTTGCCTACTCAAAAACTCATTTATTTACATTAATATTCACGGCATTTATGATTCCGATTCTTTGAACATGAAGCATTTGCTGATTCGAAATTGTTCAATGTGGCTTGCAGATTTCGCTGATGAAAGAGAGATACTTCACCGACCTACTGCTCATGCATAGAAACGCCAAACAGCTGTGCATTCAGGTACAACTCAATCACCATGCTTTTATATCACGCCCAAAAATTTCTAAATGTMCTGATAGATTGTTTTATAGGACTTAAGTTTRTAGGACCAAATAATTGTGCTTCATGTATAAAAGTGTTACAATATGATGCTAGGACGTATTCCGGCATTCTAACCAAAAATGTCTAGATGTTCTAATAGATTGCTTTATAAAGTAACTTATTAGGACATTTAGACATTTTCTACGTGTGTACTGTTGATGTGTGATTCTGGCTTGTAGGAAAGGGATTCGCCATCAGCAACCAAATACGAAACTGTCAAAAAGTTCCTGGAGAAGATGATCACATTCTTAAGCATTCCTACGGTCGACATGATCCCAAAAACTTACGAAAGAGTTCATGGTTACATGAATTTTATCGTTAACTACCTCCAGTCGTTCAGGAACAAGAACGGCAGCAGTTCTTCACAGTATTCGCAATTATTGGTCCATCAGCCACCACAGCTGCAGCAGCCCATTACTGGAGCCAACATGAAGTTGCAATACACCCCACAACAAAATCTATTTCAAGGGGTTGCAAATCTAGAAACCAGCATGCTGAATTTTAATCAGAATTTCCCTTCGAGAAGGCCGCAACAAGCAAGAATGGCGACAAGTTCTTCGGTCAATAATGTCTCTTTTCAAACGGGTATAGATCAGAGACCCGTGAATCCACTGCGGATTGGCTCGTTCAATGGTGCACAGCCGAATGTATTAAGCACAACACAAATGAGTAGCGGGTTGTTAACAACTACAACCGCGAATAATTTTCAATCTCATCAGCTCAACAACCAACCTGCAGCCATGACCGCCCATCAGAAATTAAGCTCGGAAAAACTGAAACAACCGATGCAGAATATGTCTCCTTTGGGTACTTCAAGAATGGTGAACCAGTTCCATTCACCTCCATTTTCTCTAACGTCAGCTGTTAAGCCGATTAATCCGCCAATTAATCAGCAGGCAGCTCCTGGTCGATCCTCGTGGAATGCAGTTTCATCTTCAAGAGTTGATGCAAACAATGTGTTGTCACCACAGTCAATTGCTCGTTCGCCATTTCTACTGGCGGCTTCTTCATCAACTCCTACTCATGCTGATCAGAAACAGTTGTCTTCTGGTGTATCGTCGTTGTCAACTGAGGAGAGTAAAAAGCCCGAAACACCGATTACGTCTGTCCAATCTGGAAATCTGGGAACCATCATCAAGGACAAAGTTCCTGATATGGGTGCTGCTCCAAGAACACCAACAACTTCATCCGTGGATGCTCCTTCCACAGAAAAAAGCCAAGAGTCGTCACAAGATTTGAACGACCCGCATCTTCGTTTAGTTCAAGTGGTACGTTCCCTTTTATCTTTGTACTCATACATTACCTCACTGCAACAAAAATCGACTTTATAAGACTTCAACTTATTATTAGAATGTCAAATAGGGCTAAATATCCTAATAAACTGGATTGTAGGCGTCTTATTAGGATATTTAGACATATTTGACATAGAACGAATTTAATTGTAGTGTCTTCTAGGTAGCCTCTTTTGAATCTGCAACATGCTTTGAGAAGAACACTTTTCCCCCCAAAATAAAACCTCAAATCATGTCCATATTTAGTAATAATATGATCGAATTCATGCGTGTTTTAAATATATGTTTCATTATAATTTGCTACAATATAGTTTGGCGTATGCCGATCAATCGATCATTACAACTATTTTCGCATTTCAGGTAAAATCATTATCATCAAAAGCTTTGAGTTCTTCTTTAAAAGRCATATGCTCAGCCAAGAAGGCAGTGAATAGCATTCCATATACAGAAATGGAACCCAGTTTTCTGTTGGAATATGATAATGAACCCAAAAATCTCATTCCTCCAAATATACAAGATGAATCCGGGTTTCTGTTAGAATCTGAAAACAAGCCAGAACGAAAAATGAGGCGTGTACTGAGTGTCACGTCAGTGGATCGTTCATCACCGGATTTCCGTGATCTTGAGAGCTTTGATCAGTTTGATTTTGAGGAATGGGACATGGATTCAACTGGAACATCCATGAAGAAGAGGTCCAAGATTGAGGTAAAGTTTTGTGCTTTATGAACAAATTAATGGCTCCAAAGTTGTTTCTGTTAGAATATTATGCTACAATGAGGTCTTGATGACCAGATTTACATATATTTTGTTTTATTTATTACTTGTCACTACAATAAGATTGAGTTTATAAGATACCAAAAGTGTTTTAAGTATCCTAATAGACTACTACCARACCTTTATGTGTTATTATTTAAAGGTGTTGTAATAAGTTTATAGCACGCTTTGAGCTTCTTAACAAGTTTTTATGATATTTTTGAAACAAAATGTCCTATTAGTCTTTCTATAGTATATTTAGAGTGTCCTATAAGCACCATTTGTTTTATAAGACACTTCTTCAAATAGTGTCCTGTAAACAGACTAATAGGATACCATGTTTGAAATGTGTGCTAAAAAACTTTTCGAAGGGCTCAAAAACATCATATAAACTTATTACAACATCTTTTTATATATATATATATATATATATATATATATATATATGACACACAAGTGTTTGGTCCTGTAAAATAATCTATTAGGACACTAAGACATTTTTGATGTCTTATAAACCTGATCTTGTTGTAGTGTGTCAAGTCGATATGTAGTCTTAATACAGGTGTAACAGGGCTTTCAACAAGATTGGAATGTACCGCCTGTTATTTCTCTTGACGTTTCTTGTTTGAAATCTAGTTTTTCGAACAGTGCAAAAATGGGGCAATATTGGAGGAGATGAAAGAGATTAATGGTAAGCTACTTGAGACATCCTTGGAAGTATCTGAAGATAATATTAGCTTACATGGAGATTATGAAGGAACCATGGTCAGGTGTCTGTACAAAAATGTGTCTTTCCCTGAACTAGTCACTCTAATGGGAGGTGCTTCATCTGAAAAGGTAAGACTTGAACATTCTTAGCCCTTTTTGTGAAACTGAAATTCACAAATCTAGAGCAAAATCAGTATAATAGAATTGGTTTTATAGGACATCAAATATGTTTAAATGTCTTAATAGACTGTTTTATAAGAATTAAGTTTTTAAGACAATACATCGTATGTCCTATATAAAAGTATGACAATAGAAATATGCTAACTCGTTTAATTTGTTGTTTATATATATACGACAGAGGCCGGAGTTTGTGATTGAGCTACTTGTTCCGGTTGATTATCCAGCTTCGTCACCTATAGTCTCTAACTCACGCTGTAGCGTCCAGGGGTGAGTGAAAATATCTAATCTTCAATTCTTTTTCATGATCATATATATGTTAATTAATTAATTATTGAAATCTTGTCGTGATTATCATGGGAAAGTTTTTTCATTAATCGATATGGCTTGAATCAGCGAACTGGGGGAGATGTTGTTTAAGGAAATGGTATGTAGATTCGAGCGATCAGTACGTGAGCTCGGGGAGAAGATGTCGATTGGAGAAATGGCACGACAGTGGGATGCGTGTGGTCGTAGTGTGATCATGGAATTAGCGCAACAACGAGGAGGAAGAAGCTTGGCGTCGAGTTACGGAAAGTGGGAGAGTTGCAGTTAGTGATACAAAAAACTAAGTAACTTGTAAATGTTGTGCATGGATTTCAACTTAATACCCGTGTGTGTGTGTGTGTAGTTGTGATGTTATCTGTTGTGTTTAAACCCAAACTCAACCTGTAAGGGATATAAGTTAGGATGCTTGTAAAAGAGGTGAATATAGGCCTCTCGTGCTTTTCATATTTAATATATATAGTATATTATAAAACATTTGACAAAAACTTTTAAAAAATCTTATATTTATTAATGTATATTACTTAAAATTCAAGATTACAAGTAAATTGTACAACTTATTAAAGCTTTATGTTTGAATTCTTGTAACTAAGTATAGATAAACATAATCAAATAAATGATAAATATTTCATTTTAAATATAAAAAATCTAAAATATAATAAGGATAATTATTGAGTTATAACATAATACTTAATTAACATCTTTATAAAAAATTATATTGTCAAATTAAAAATAAATTACTTATTAACCTTAAATTAAATTATAATAAAAAGAAATTACACAAAAAACAAGAACTTTTAAATAGTTGAATTTGATATTAATTTTGATATATATTTTTTTTAAAAATTTATGATATCTTAAAATGTATATTTTATTTAAAAATAAAAAACATTATCGTTTTTCCAAAACCACATAAAACCATATTATAACATCGATGAAGACAGATAATAAAATAAAACATTGAAATCAAGATGTATTAAGTTGTGGAAGTCTTGAAAATAACAAAAATTTGCTACAAGAACAAATAAATAATGATTTTATATATGGTTAGAAAAAGTTGATATAAACATCGGCTACAAAGACTTTGAGAACAGCCTCAACCACATGAACCACATAAGTAGATGAACTAAGAAAGCAAGAAAATCAAAACTGAAACCAAAATCCATGGCTGCTACTATTTGGTCGCCATTTCTACTACCTCCTCCTTCTTCTTCTCTACTAGCATCAAAATCAATCTGCCCATCTTTCTTATACAAGAATCAATTCTCATTTTCATCCAAATACAAGCCATCGGCATCCTATCGTTTTCCACCTGGCAGACGTTCCATTGAAGAAGAAGAAGAAGAAGAAGAAGAAGAAGATGATGATGATGATGATTTAGTTGGTGGCAAGTTCACAGAGGCGGTGGCGCTATTCAACACTCGGGATTACCACGGATGCCACGACTTCCTAGAAACAATATGGAATGATTCCGAAGATCCCATCCGATCCCTTGTTCATGGGATTCTACAGTGCKCCGTCGGCTTCCATCATCTCTTCAATCAGGTTATTATAAAGGACATGTTTGTTTTGCATTTGATGGCACTATATTATTAATGAATGTTGTATTGTCCAAAACGCCAAAAACAACTTATTGTTTGAAATGTCATGATTTGATGCAAGAAATGTGTGTTCATGTTGATAGAATCATAAAGGTGCGATGATGGAGATGGGAGAGGGAGTATGCAAACTGCGAAAACTGAATTTGGACAGTGGACCTTTTCATCAGTTCGAGAGAGAGATGTCTGCAGTTTTGGATTTCATTTACCAGACCCAATTAGAGTTTGCTGCCTGTGAGTTCTCTATTTTACGTGAAAATCCTTTCATACAAACCCGACCAACCTAAAAACCCCTACGTATTCAGCCCGATACCCCTCTTATATGTTMTACGCCTCTGCAGGTTATTCATCTGTCCCACTTCCCAATCATTAAAACTCTGTTTTCAGCCATTGATGAAAGGCTTTCATTGCTAGATATAGTCAAAATGCAGATGAATTTGCTCGAAAAGCAACGAGTCAAATAGGGTTTCCATAAAATACCCTTGGTCTTCAGGTTTCATGGCTCACGCCATCTTCTTAAAACCCAACAGTTTTGACTCACTTAGAGGCTGTTTACCAAATACTTACCGCATAAGCACGGCAAGGACCAAGAATCTTACCCAGTAAGATGCAAGGCAAGGGATAACAATCTTACTCAGTAAGTGAGGGTGGTGACTTTTACTCGATTAGTGCTTAAGAATGCTTACCAACAATATTACTATGCCATTATGATGGCCAAGAAGAAYCTTACCCAGTAAAGTAATTGAGATCGGTGATTCTTACCAGGTGTCACTTACCTTCCGGATGAAAACGGCAAGGACCTAGAATCTTACTCGGTAAGAGGTATAGCAAGGACCAAGAATCTTACCCATTAAGTGCTTACCGGATAAAAGATGCTTATCAACAATCTGATGACCAAGAACGTCACCTTATAAGGTAAGTAAGAGCGGTGACTCTTGACGGTAAGTGTTCGGTAAACGGCCCCTTAGTCATCTGAACACACCTAGATGTAACATAAGCTCGCAATAGAACCTACAATCATCATATAAAACAGGTCTACTAACACCAAACATATGTCTCATCTTGTTTGAGTCTCCTTTTAGGTAACGAGGACATGTGTGTTGCTATGGATCAATCAGAGACTTCATACAAACTTCTTGGTGGTTATGGTGCTGGCCAACATCTATACTGGTTAGAAATGGATGGATCTGCAAGCTTATATATAGTCTACTGCCCTGATAGATCTCTCACTGCTACTGCTGCAAACCAGCCAAGGGTAAGACTTCCAATTCTTTATGCTTCTCAAGAACATCTTATGGAGCTAGAGGACACTTGATATTTAAAATTCTAATTAGTCTTCTTTCATCTCAAAGTTTAASTTTTCTCTTAGTGGGGCTGTGTTTATAAAGTCTCTGCTAGGCTGCTTATAGTGATATATAACATGAATGATAATATGATTTATGGTCATATTTCAATTGCTATTTAGATAAAATTCAAAGCAATCATGCAACTATATGTATATTAAAACCATATACTATATGAATCTGTACCAAAAGAAAGTAAAATAAAATATCTGATACATGCAAATTCAGTTGTGCTACTTTCACAAAACATATAGCACTTCCTTGCTAGAATCACCAAGACACATTTTAGGTGAATCCACCTTCCAATTTACAAACAAAAGTTAATAATATTACTCGACTCCTTACCATAAATTAATAAAATTGAGGGGAAAAAACATACCTATAGGCGACCCATGCACCGAACTCCTCTTTTTGCAACATACAAAAAGATGGCTTCCAAGACTCGGTTTCCTTAGGAGTTGCTACAAGGCTCGCACGGCCTATATGCTTGCTTCTATACATAGTTAAAATAACACAAAAGAAAGAAGGGAATGCAACCTAAGGGTAGATGGAAAGGATGGCAGGCAGATTAGCCCTTCCCTTTTCCGACATACAAATTAATTATCTACACCAGTAGTAGTGTTGTTGGGTATGTATAATATACAGTTACTTGGAGTATACATACAGCGAAATCAGCTTAGTACCTGTTTTTGTTTCACGAAATCAACGTTCTCTTCAGAATTCACAAGAATTTCCTAACCTCTGTTTGAACAAGCTCATGCTCTTTTTCTCCTCAAAAGCCTCTGGCAAAAGCTCCTCAAAATGCTCCAAGAACGATGACCATTCGTCTTCCTTCATTTCCTCGAATGAAACACACACCCCGGTATCATGATTGTTGTTGTGAGCTGCAAAACTCACGCTTCTTAGTATTGGTATCCCAGTTGGACCACAACCATCTTTAATATCACATTCTTGTACTAATCTCGCCAATTGTGCATCACTTAACTGACTCCTTGCTCCTTCMGATGAAAATTTCATCATTTTTGGTGGTTTACCACTTGTTGGATGTCTTGAAACATCCTTCTTCAGGTTCAAACCCTCTTCATCAAATGCAAACATTTCATCGTCTTCTTTGACTTCATCACTTCCGTCAGTTATTATGTCCGCATCCAAGTTAGCCTTTGCGTTTACACAGATATTCTCCAAAATACTCCAACATTCTTCACCTCCGATGAACTCCCTTGTCATCATTTCACCTATATCCGCAAGAGAAAGTCCAGCAGCAGCCGCCCTCTTCAAGAAAATGGTACAAAGTACGAAAACACGTACAGAGCACTCCCTAATAAGAGGAAGTTCACTTCTTAGAAGTTTTGCATCTTTCARTGGATCAAGATTTGAAATATACTCCGCTTCTGTATCAGAGAAGGGCATCGAGGCTTGGGGCCAATGTAGCCATTCAAAATATGGATCGTCTAATGACTCTGGCAAACAAAACCCGTGGTCAATTGGGACGAGGTCAGCCACCCCAGCAGCATAGCTCCCGTGAAAATTCTTCACAAGCATGTTCCCTGCATGCCTGTCGAGATTAAGGAGCCTAATGTCAAGTATGCCAATACGATGAACTGAACCAACAGAGAAGCCAGAGGGGCCCAAATCTCCTGCATCTGTTTCGTGTTCTACATATCGTTGTATTGATGTGATTTTGAACGGTGGGGATGAAGCCAATCCCTTGTCGTTTACGTTGAATGTGACATGACAAATTTTGACCAGTGCTGATGGAGGAACACCTGCAAATCCCCCATGGTCAAGCAAATAAGCAGCCAATTCCCGGAGCCCTGTTTCACCTACCCGGATGGACCGCTTCATGCCGGGCTGTCCTAGCATCCGACCCGCAAACCCTTTAGGATTATTAAATGCTAGTGGTTCTTCATCGGCTGGCTTCACAACAGCAATGGTATTGCCTTTCCTCGATTGCAAATAGTAGGCACCGCCAAGGCCACTTGGCACTGGCTTGGGTTCGACCCCAGATGCTAATGCAATGGCAACCTCGGCTACAAGGGCATGCACCATTGGGGCCTTACRGCCATTAATGATCTCAATTCTCGGTTTAGGTGATTCAAACTCTTCCTTGGCTTTATTGGCCAAGGAAAGACATGGGGTGGAATAGCTTCTGTGAAAATTAGTGGTAACATCAGATGTATGGGAATTATGGGTGAAATCGAGCATGGTTGGATCGAAGTGAGAGTAAGATTGGAGTCTGCATCTTGGGGGTCGGGCAAGTGGCTTAAATCCATGAGGATGATTAACAACTACAGCCATCCTGGTGTTATGTCATGCAGGTAAGAATGGCTGCAACACATGCTAAAGAGCGGGTTCTAAGAAAATTCTTCAGAGGGTTCGTCTTCCCCTAGGAGATTAGCCATCACATGTCTGCCAAAAACAGAACAATTCCATAGCTAGTGTTAACCACCAGAGTTTCCAAGGATGTCAAAACAAACAAAATAAATCATATATTTGATTAATCGATCAACCATCCAGTTTCATACATACATAATGGATAATATTCATTCTCCTTCTACTTCACCAAAAACATCATGTCTAGCATAAAAAGGATACCAAAATATTGTTTGCAATGGTCGTGTGTTGTTTTCAAGCCAAAATTACAATATGTTAAATCATTTTGAATCAAATTGAAGGAACCAATTGATGCAGTTTGATGACCTAATTTGATCGTGGAAAAAGCAAGATAAGAAACATAAATTGATGACGTTCTTACTTGGCATTGGCATATACTAGATGATCGCATATGTCAACTGCAAGATCCAGGTTGCTAATCTCCGACCACCTATGAAATGAAAAGCGACATATGTATACATATATATATGATTAGCAATTAGGTTAGATGGGAAATTGAAAAAGAACAAACATTGACGGATCTTACCATCGTTAATCCCCTCGCTCCTCCTCTAAAAGATTGCCACAATTAACTGCAAGAGGAAATATTTGCATGTCAATGAAAGCGATGTAAAGAATGATGATCTAGTCCTCCATTTCCAATTGAAAAACGAAGATCACTTGGTCTTTGTGCAATACAAAAACAAAGTGGTTGGAAGGGAGGATGAGACAAAATTGACATGGAAGAGGGAGATGGAAAGGGAGAGGGAGAGAGAGAGAGAGAGAGAAAGAGACCCTGAACACTGGTGAGGCATTCAGGGAGAGGAAATCTGCAATTTGGAGAGCGCGAGAGAAGAAGAAGAAGATGGATTCCGTCACCCGAAACAACAAAAATGAAGAAACAAAAAAAAGAAAACGAATCCCCCACCCCTACCCTCCCTCTCTCTCCTTCCTCCATTTGCTTTTATATAATTTACCCTCCCTTCCTACAATCCAGGCTTCCTAACCACCCACCCAGTTACAGACACTGATATATATTCACATTATCGAACATTGTTTATTCACATATGAATATATGCAAATTCATATATGAATATATACACAGGCTAAAATGAATACAGTGATTATTCACATACACATTAGTAGAAAGTAAAAAATCTAGTTAAAAAATTGAACCCAATATATTGATATTTCTTTATGGACACTTGTTAGTTTAAGCCATACCAACATCTCAAAATCCAGTTTCACATTCACATGGATTTGCCATTTTATTCAACAAGTTCAAATAAAACAATTCTAGAAAAGATTTACAGCTTTTATTACAGCATTTGGGTTGACATCCATCTTATAAACACATAACAGCCATTGATGATCCATTTGCTTCCAAAGATTCCAAGTGGGATCGTTTACAGAACTGCTATGCTTGTAATTTTTGGATCTTGATTCGGTAGACGAATCTTCTCCTGCTTGATTCCAATTTCTTGCTGCTTCTCTGTAACAGCAGAGAGATTTTGCACTTGTTCACCAGGATACGATCTTGCACTCCCGCAAACTAGTCCTTTAATCGCTGTTGTAAGTTCTGCATCCTTCAACAGGGTTTCCATTGTCACATGAACACCTGAAGGGGTACCAAGAAAACCCGTTACAGATATTTTTAACTTGAAAAAAAAAATGAGGAAATGTTTGAAAAAGAATACATCCCGAATGGGAATAAAAATATGCAATTACATGAGTAGGAACTCAACTTTTGATGTTAAATTTAGACATTTGTGACGAAAAGAACCCACTAAACGTGTTTTATCATTCCATTACAAGTTAACATAATAGAGAAAACACGAGGATAAATGGTTGGCGCGTTCAAGAGGGTTGTATGGTACAAGTGGTCGGAGCAATGCATTACAGATGTCTATGCAACGGTGACATGCTACCCTGCCATGTCAGCGTCGCATACAAGCATAACATAGAAAAGAAGCCAAAAACTCTTAGAAACTTTCGGTATACAAAATGCTACGCTGTCATGCTAGTGTAGCATACAAAGGTAGCGTAGAAGAAAAGAAGCCAAAAACTCTTAAAAGCTTCCGGTACACAAGATGCTACCCTGCCATACGAGGGTTGCATAATAGTCAAAGGTTTTACTACTATATGCAAAGTCAAACATTGTAATTTTCTTGGGAAATTCTATGAAAATCCAATTATGCAATTTTAGCAAAGAATTAATTAGCCATGTTGAGAACCTCAATATTCCACCTAAAGGGTAACGGTAACCAATTTGAACTTTGTCAAACGTATTACGTTGATAGAAAAAACAGGGAAGAACAAAAGAAGGGAACTTACGGAATCGCCAATAATGCTTAGGATTCGTAGGATCATTGATTGTCTCYTCTACCGCAGGGCGTGTCGTGTATTCTTCTTTTAATGCTAGCAAATCCTGCCAACAATAAAAATAGTTATTCGTTAATTTACACGCATGACAGAATCATAGCTAGATGTTCAAGGCAACAAAAAACAGTAACATATGAATTAATTAGTGTACATAAATGGTTTTAGTTTCTATTTTTTCTGAATTTGGTATCCGAAGCCTTTAGGGTGCGTTTGGTACACTTGACAGGACCAAACAGAACGGGGATAACTCACTGTTACATGTTTGGCATGACTTTATTTGGAACAATCAGGAACAGAATGCAACAAAGTGGAACAGGCGTATTCCACCCCCCATCCCATGGAACAAGGTGGAATAGAATTATGTTTTACCAATATAACTTCAAAATAAAACTTAATTCTCTTCTAAAACATCAAATACGCCTTCCTCTTTACATTTTATTATTTTTAAATTTTATTTATCGTATTTTATACTCTTTGAACTTTCACTTTTTTAGTCCTCAAAATATTATTTTTATATGGTTTCTATATTTTGATTAATTTATGTAATTTATTAAATGTTAGTAATAATAAAATAATATAGAAAATTTATTTAAAAAATGAAACTTCATAAGCTTTTTATTTTGGTGTCGACGAAAACTTTTTACTGATATATTTTGTTATATAAGATATTAATTTTCTTATCATTAATAAATTACATAAATAATCAAAATATATAAAATATATAAACAACACATTAGGGTAAATTGGTCATTTTATCTGTTATGTCTTGTTATGTCTTGTCTTGTTCCGTTCTATCCTATCTGGATACCAAGCGCACCCTTAGGAACATAATATAGTACCTGTAGAGGGAAAATTGCCCACATTGATGGAGCTTCCACATGCTGACGCAGGACAAAATATGCTATTTCTGGAACACATTGCTTCGGTGGCAAACTGTCGGAACCCACCATGGTTTTGAAAAACAAACGTCTTCTTTCTTCATCTTCTTCCCACCATGCACGTAAGGTAGAACAATCGTGGCATGACGGAGCACATACCTGCAAAAGACAACATAAAATAAATCATTTTCAACGTAAAAGAGGACAAAAGATGGGCTTATTGACTTTTTAATCACTAGGTAAAAGTGTTATATATGCACGCACACAAACGGACATAGGGGCAGGTTTAAATGAGAACCACATAAATATTTGGAGAACCTTGGAACCAACTATTCATGCTTTATTCATGATGAATGCCGTGATAGATGTTCATGATAAAAATTACAGCAAGTTACGACTTTTGTCCCTGTGGTTTGGGACTAAAAGAATAATAAATTGTAATTCAAAAGGACAGAAATAGCAATTAATTACAAACCATATGGACGAAAAAAGCAATTTCTAAACCACATGGACAAAATTCGCAATTTTTAACAAACYACAGGGGCAAAGAACGTAATATACTCTAAAAATTACTCATAAYGAAAATACATGATAAAAATGCATGATATTCATGATAAAAATGCATGATATTCATGATGAATAATATTCATAATTATCCAGGGTTATTCATCATGAATAATGCATAAATTCCCAGTTTCTCAAAATATTTATGGTTCTCATTTGAACTTTCCCCTACATGCAAAATAACGATAAATAATTCATATTGGATCAGAAATAAAAATCCGAAATGTTGATGTTGGCTTTTTATCCCAAACACATTAAAAATCCCATCACGTCCAAATGATTTTGTAAGGCGAAGGTTTGATGATTCTACTTATCATTCATGGAATAATTATCAATAACTTTTAATCCTTCAGGTGTGTTTGAATCTTTTCTAGAATAACAAATCACAAAGTTCTATGATTTATGATTCCAAACACAATACAGATGTATATGTCACACCAAATATAACACGATAAAAAAGGCATTTCAAGGAACATACCGTCATGTAGCCATATTGAGAAGGAATGCCAAAGTCCAAATCAGCTTCACTTGGCATACGTTGAATACGTAATCCTATTAATCCCAGTTCCTGCATAACCTGCAACAAGTTCATTTGAAGCATAAGTTTCGAGGATGATGCTTAACGTAAAAACAGTATAAAAGTTATAGAGAAGAAAGCTATACAGGATGAACACAAGAAGGAATTAGGCCTAGATCTTCTCCACATGCTAGCATATCCGACGAGTTTAGGAGAGCAGGCAGAGTCTTCATGGCATTCTGGCGCCAAAGACTCTCTTGCCGTTGGAAATAGTAGTCATAATACAATCTTCTGAAGATGTTTTTGCTGTATAATTGGACAACAATGAAAACCAAAAAAGATGAAATTTTGGGGTTATCAAGGGTAAAAGCTTCTAGTTTCCTAATAAAATAGAATCTTTATTTGGTCCTTGTATTCAAGTAATACTCCCTCCGTCCCAAAACATGGGTCCACAAAATACGTTCACTTTCAAAACCAAGTACTTACTTTCCAATTCTACCCTTAATCATGAAACGAAGAAATTCATTACTCCCTCTATCATTAGTATATGTACACGTATATCAAGTACCTGTGTGCATCCAAATCCCTGAAACTTGACGTATCTTCTAGGTTAAAACGAGGATAAAAACTTCTAGGATCCTCGGGGTCTCTAATAAGCACGATATTCTGCCAAAGTAATGAACATTTATGAATTTAGTAAATCCAAACACAGTAAAGACGATATAAAGAATGATTAAAGAGAAAGAGATTGTATGGAAGGCACTAATTCTAATTCCATTTTACTCAAATATATATATATATATATATATATATATCTTCATATCTTACCTGCAGAAGGTCAAAGAGATCACGACGCAATTTCTCTTCACTTTCCAACAACAAGGACTTCTCGACAAGTGATTTCAGCTTGGCAGCAATCTTTCTCTCCGTGTTGCAATCATCCTTGAACTGCAATACCGAAGGATATTATAGTAGTCAGTAGTGTGTAAGGAAAGTAACAAATTACAGGTGGCCGAAATGTGTTTGATTTGTAAGCATAAAAATAATTAAATTACCCTTTTATTAATTGATTATTACAAAACAAGTGTTTTTAACATATTTCAAAACATTATTACAAACAAATCCTGTGAAATACCAACTACCCTCATGGGATTTCTAAATCCCATGTGGTGGTATGTCACTGATGGGATTTCCATTCTGAACTTCCCTTCAAACCAAATGTAGGATTGGAATGGAATCCAATTCCAAATTCCACTAAATCCCACAACCAAACAGGCCCCCAGAGAAAAAGGAGAGACTTGGAACAAAAATGAAAAAAGATAAAGTATAGTCTTGAAAAAAATACTACCTCATAACGATTTTTCTGAAACTCGTTCATAAAATGAGAAGCTACGACTATCCACGAAGGTCCAAATTTTTCCTGAAAAAAAACAAATAACTTCAATAAATATGACCCTTCAAATAATATATCCAATCAAAATAGGCGAAATCTAATGTGGGTGCTTTGAGTTTGATAATGATAGCATTCGAGTTCAGAAATCAAGAAACCTGTAAAAACTCTTGCAGAATATACGGTTTGCTCAATCGATCAAAGTCCCATACTCCTTCTTTTTCAAGCTCCTCCTATAAAAGGACATGTTTCTAATTTATATCAAAACAACCATTGTCGTTTTTAAAGATGAGACATGCAAGAATGAGGACGAAAAAATGCATCTTAAAATTTACCTGACTAAGAGGTATAGATGGTCGGAATTTTCCAACTAGACCTGTCATTGCATGTTCCGGAAGCTCCCAGATTCTGAAGAAACCCAATATGTGATCTATCCTGTAGGCCGTGAAATAATTTGCCATCTTTGATCCAGAATAATTGATGAAACAAAATTGAATTAGCAAAGCGGATCAAGAAATCGAACTAATGACACCAGAATATGAAGCGAGATTTGAGAAACCTGTGACAGACGAGCACGCCACCAAGCATAGTTATCTTTAGACATCTCTTCCCAATTGTAAGTGGGAAACCCCCAATTTTGCCCATTTTTATCGAAATAATCTGGAGGGGCACCAGTAGCGGTGTTCATCCGGAACAAATTTGGATATACCCAAGTATCTACACTATTTCTATCAACACCTATAGGGAGATCTCCTTTCAATACCACCCCTTTCTCTTTTGCATATTCTGCTGCTTCTGACAACTGTGGATAAGAACAAAAAGTAATATCAAGTTTCTTTTTGCTATGTTGAGATACCATAATGCAGAAAAGCATATTAGACGTATAAGAGAGGTTCAGGGGAAAACCCCCAAAAAAATGAAAAAATGTGGAACACCTTGGCAACCATTCATCTGGATGGTATGCACATGTGCATACAAGTAATTGAAGCTATTTTTTGGTTTTTATGCAGGTGTGCATGTTATGCACATGTTGCATACGGAACAAATTGCTTGTATGCACACCACCAAGGTGTTCCTCAGTTTTTCATTTTTGTTACGGTTTTCCCCAAAACCTGACCCTTAGGCGTATAATAACTAAATAAACTTACTTGTAAGTGCAAATGGTATTGTATATAATAATGGAAGCGTATGATGTCATAATGGAAGCTGTCCATGGATACAAGCTTTGCAAGCTGATGAAATTACATCATAGATGTCAAGAGGATTAGCACAAGAGGCATTTATTTCTCTGTGGCATGGTAATTGTAATAAATTTTTAATTAACTAGTAACATTTTATATTATAATATTTACAAGCTACTTCATATCTGACAAACGGAACGCAAATAAAATCACGTGAGCACCTTATCTTTTGAAAATTGACTAAATGTGCCCCATTGGCTGTGGTCTGAAGTTTCAAAGAAATCTCGTAAGAAACAAAAGGCTGCATACGGATTCAACCATTCCTGTCTCATGGAAGAAAAACAGATAAATAACATCATGTTTGCTGTCRGATTTTAGAATATTTCAGATACCAAGGAGAAAGTTGTAATAATAGGACCTCAAGGAACCATTAACTGATATACATCTAATACAACAAATCTCTACACGAGTCTAAATTCAACACGTACCTCATTCTCAGTCAAGAAATTCTTGAAGTTACTAGAATTTAGTATCAAATCCTTCTCCAAATCGAAAATCTTCTTGGCAATTGAAAGCTTCGTAGCCATAGTAGCCTCGTAATCTACACTCTGCAACATATTAAAATCTGGGCAATCACTTTTAAGGGCCTTTTAGTAGAGATGATCCAACATCAAAACCCTTTTGACGAATAAATTTAGAACAATAGATATGGGTTTCATTTCAAGACATCTCATCATGTTATTTCTTATCTTTAGCCATCTTACAAAGTACGAGCCTAATTAGTGAGAATGCAGTGTAGAAGTATGAAGTCTTGTAGATAAGGATTTAAACATAAAAATTTAATGATTTATGATTTATAATTGACAAAAATTGCCGGTGATTTGGAATGCATAAACACCATAGTCATGCATGGTCGAATATCTTGCAAGTTCTCATAAAACAAAAATAATTTAAGCTCAAGAGCCTGTAAGTTTGACAAACCAAGGTGGATAAGAGCTAAGCTACCTAATTCGTAAAGGATCTACCTAATTCATTAGACATATAGCTTGTAAYATCAAGTTACTATTTGTAAGTTCACTTTGATTGGGTGAACATGAAATTGCACAAAGTACAACTAAATGCTGAATGTGCCAAATTCTAATAGAAACTTATTTGATGGCTCAGYGTTCAACTGGATTCGTATCAAGTTTGATGTCTCCAATATGATTCTTCATCACCCTCTGATGTCAACTATATTAAATAATCAAAAGATCCCAGTTTAGCAGAAAAAGGAAATATATAAGWTGCATAAGTCAACATTTAAAGTGACAACTGGAATTCATTTCAAGCTTATTTTTATATAGAATATATTGAAAATGTTGATTTGCTTACAATTACTCAAGATCAGTTCTTCAAGATTCCAGGACAAATAAATACAGGAAAAAGTTGTCTTAGATTCCCTAATGGAGGTTTAAAAACTTACCTTATAAAAGACGGGATAAATTTTAAGATATGGAAGATGTGCAATGCGGTTGAATGGACCTCTATGTTACTAATTAATGTTCAGATTCCATGTCCTAATATCGGCTCCGGTCTCTATTAGAAAATTAAGTAAATCTACAAGAACTACCTTTCCGTCGAGCTCTTTCATTGCCCTCTGTATCTCTTGCTGCAAAAAAGGGCAGATAAACAGAGCATAAGGGTACTGTTTTTTATAACTAAAGAATTAAAAAAGTTGCTACAACATGTTATATCTATAGTTTACATCCTTTAATTTATTTTTCAAGATCGTAAGCCACTCTGATATGCCACATTCAGGATTCTTTCCTGAGTAACACGCATCATTTTTACCCTAATGTTCGGTTAGATCACATAAAACCATGCGTCAGCTGAAGGGCCTTTGGCCAAGTGGTATCTGGTAACCCAACCTATCTAGAGGTCAAGTGTTCCAACCTCGCCAAAGGTGAGGCTGTGTGTGTAAGTTTCATTTTCTGTGTATAAAAATAGTATATACTTCAAAAAAGAGAATAAAACAACATCCTAGATACTTTGAATAAGGTAGCAAGACCTACATTGACATCATCTGGTATATTTTCTGAAAGTGCCTGGAGTCTGAGGTATAGTGGATGCAATGCAAATACGGAGAGAGAGCTGCATAGAGAGTAAAACATGAATGACAAAGATAGTGAATAACATGATACATATAGGGTCAGGTTCAAGGGAAAACCGTAAAGAAAATCAGAATTGAGGAACACCCTGGTAACCTTTTATACTGATGGTATGCACATGTGCATACGAGTAATTTCTAAGCAATTTTTCCGGTATGTACATGTGCATAACATGCACACGTGCATAAAAACCAAGAAACGGCTTCAATTACTTGTATGCACATGTGCATACCGTCTAGATAAATGGTTCCCGGAGTGCTTCTTAGTTTTTCATTTTTTGGGGGTTTTCTCCTGAACCAGGAATTCCACATTCTTTTTGCTAGTACTTATCAGGTACTATAGTAACACTAGGCAATTATTAGCAATGTGAGAATAATTCTAATAAATCCCTAATGCGTACTATCATCCTAAATGTACCTTTTCTTTATCTTTTTCCCCATAGAATAACTACCATCATTTCTCAGTAAATTGGAAATGAAAACCATAAAAAGTGTATAAATGACGAGAAAACTACACCTTTTGTGTTGTTGTTCATGTTTCAAACATATGTCCCTTCATTATAGTCTTTCAGTTTACAGAAGATTCTTACCTGTATGGATACGAATCCCACCACATCTTGTGCACAGAAGTGTCATTTATTGGCAAAAGCTGGAGTAAATGGAATCCAGAGTCAACAGCCCAGTCAACAACTAATTTCAGATCAAGAAACTCTCCAACTCCTACATCATCCTCTGATCTCACGGAAAACATCGGAATTGCAACACCAGCACCGCGCCATGGCATTTCCTTAGTAAACAACATTGCAGTTTGAGTACAACCCATTTTCATACATATGAAAGAGAGCAACAATACCTATCTAACATCTTACTCGCATCATGCCATCTGAAAGAATAAGGTAATTTGGTCCACTGGCTGAGATGTCAACTGTTATCTCCCGATTAGAACCATATTCTAGAGAGAAATTTCCATTATTCCCATATTTACAGTATTTGTATGTGGAAAGGTGTTAAGGAAGAATAAGTCGAGAGCGAAAAGTCAAGTACAGAAAGCATTAGTAGACTATGGACCTGTTTGTTAGCAGCTTAATGAGCTTAATGAGACTCACAGCTTATTGGGTCAGCTAGAAATGACTATTTGGTAGTGACTAAGTGATATAGAAAGTGGCTTATTCAGTAAGCTTCTACAAGGGAGYTTTATGCAGAAAGCCAAGTTTTTTTCCAGACCATGCCCTTCCAATTTAAAAACACGCTCCTTCCACTATGAAATCCTCCTAARCAAAAACTTCCCCAATCTATACAAACAGAAAATCCACAACAGACAATTTTATCCATACAGGTCTTAATGGAAAACCAACCAAACAGCCCTTATGAAAAGGATATTTTAAGGGGAAAGCACCCTTTGGTACAACACAATCGCCTTCCCAAATAGATTCACCAACATAATTGAGTTTTAGTCCATCATGAACCTTCCATCTCCCCAGCTCTTCGGAGCTGCCAATTACATATATCTGCATCAAAAAAAACAGATAGAACTCAATTCACCATATATAGAAGTAACCCACATGAAATTACGTGTTTATATAAAAGTTTGGAGCTCAAATTGGACGAAAAGACTATTACTGATGTTCCATCTGCTATATTTGGGCAGCATATCTTGAACTGGAGGATAATTGAATCTGAAAACAATGGACATTCGCAAGAAATAATGTTTGCATCATTATATCACAGTTATGAAGTGGAACCATATTGTCTATTGCCAACATGATAATACAATGTATCTATTAATTCTTCAAAAAGTGACTTTTTGACCTGAAAAATCCAAATGTGCCTGTAGAATCAAAATGGAGGTAGTGTGAAATGTAAACCATTACCTTCATCATCCAACTTATTTTGAATCGTGCCAAGTGGTTTCTCAATAGCCAATTTGCTACTCTTGCGAAAGATTACATTCTTGAATGCACTTTTAGAAGGGAGACTGTCGCTACCATTCTGCATTCAAGTATGTTATAACAATAAAGGAGTGTTATTATAAGAAGAAAATTGATATAATAAAATATCATTTAATGAAGATTCACAAAGTATAACTTAGGTTTAATATCATTTTCAGATTAAACTTCCTGCCAGTATAACATATTTTGGTAGTACGAACATGGGAACAATGAGCATTTATAACATACCACCAGAAGCAAACAAAGAGGCCACCAGCAAACACCTAATTTAGGTCATGAACTTGCTCATTGTTATGCCATTGAAAAGGTTTATCAATCATTTCAAACACATACAAACAAACTCAACAATTTATACCTTCAGAATCTCTAAATTTGATTAGTGAATAACTTGCCAAAAATGTACACAACAGAGGGTTAGAGAGAGAGATGCACCAGCCAAAGATCATGAAGCTCCACCACCTTTCCATTTTCAATTCCAACAGGAAGCACCAATTTCCTCTTATTTCCAACCTCCCATCTTATTACATTTCTCTCATCATCCACTACATAATAGTTGTACTCACTTTGAAACCCAGCTGGAACAGCCAAACTCCCACCCCATATTAGCTCATCACCTTCATGAAAAGGGGTCAAAAGAAGGCCCTTCTTCACATTTCCCGAACCAAGAACCGGTTCAGAGCCACACACAACCAAACTCTGACCCCACTGAGTATAATAAGGTATCCTGAATCTCACATTCACTGATAGTAGGGGCTTGATCTCAGAAAACAACCCCAAATTCACCATTATCCCCAAATCTGAAACAAATCCCAGATGACTTTCTCAATATATATAGCAACAAAAATAGAAATAACTGCAGTTTAATTAACTTTATACCCAAAAGTGGAATTGGGTCATTTTACTACTACCCATTAAATTAAAAACAGTTACGTTCGGAGAAACTGTACTTTTAGGAATAGACAAATTCAATCATATGTAAACACAAAATGCGAGTTTACCCAGACGATTTTTTTCAAAATCCAACAAAACCCAAGTGGAGTTCCTTGTAATGGAGCAATAAAAACTTTATACAACGTTCGTTACATCAAATCAGGCCAGACCCATATCGTAATGAGTTGGAAAAATTCAATCAAAAAGTAACGAAAAGTGATGGCAACATACTGTAAGAGAGGAATACGGCAATGAATGAGGTACCTTTGCTTGAAGTGGGAATAACTTGATGCAAGTCAAATATCTAGAAAAAAAACTAATTAAATAACAAGGAAAGAAACAAATGAAGGAGAATGGCACGTTCAAAGAGATAAAAAGAGGCAGAATATGTGTGGGTTCTGTTGGGAATTGAGCAGAAGATATTATGGCAAAAGGAGAAATGTCTTGTGGCTAAACGCAATCTGAGAAGCTGCTTTCACGGGAAAGTGGTTGTGCCTGTGGCTGTGGTGTTGATGTGAGTGAGCTTTAAATCTCCATATTTATGAATCATGGTGGCTTGTGGGAGTTTGCGCTCCTTTGGGACGTGCCGTTACTGCAATCCTTTGTATATCATACACATTTATAATTCAACTACGATTGATCTAATTTGAAAAAATTAAATAATGTCAGAAAGTTATATTATAAATATAAATGATCATCGATATTACAATATTATTTTAGACTTGTATTTTTATAATAGTTTTGAAGTATAATTTTGAAAATTGACTGTTCAAACTTAAATTTTGAAATGAAACTATATCAATAATTAGTTAAAATAAAGTTAACCTTAGAATTAAATTAAAATTATATAATATTTTAATAATATAGTAAAATACTGAAATTCTCTCAAATAGAGGATCTACAAGTATAAATGTAATTTTTTTAGAAATTTTAATTTTAATTTTTTATTTTAAAAAATTATAAAGAATATGTTAGAAATACTTTTACGTATTTATAAAACCATCTAATTTTATGATTATATTTATATATATATATATATATATTACACGATCAGATGGATATCATATACTATTTTGTTATTCACATACACTTGTCGGTAAGAGAAAACTTACTTTCAAGACAAAAAGCATGCGTTTTGATTAAAAGATATTTTTTTAAAAAGTTTTAGAAAGCATTGATAACATGATATACTACAAAAGGACTATTTGTTAACAAATAAATGAGGGAACCGCTAAATGGGAGAAGAAAGGAAAATATATTAGACCGAATCAACACTGAATTTAAGGTCAAATACATGATTACTTACGTTTTTCTATCAAACATCACATCAATAGCCTCTTGCTCCTTTGTCGATGACTCGACTCATGCCATTTTCCAACAATATAAATCATTTACCAATGCAAATCGAGTAAATGTTGATTGAGTAAGAGATACGGTCTCACAAAACAGACTGAAAATGGTTGTTTACTGAAACATTGACCAAGTCAGAAAACAACCCCTTCTTACATGCCAAGATCTCAATAAGCATATTTGATAGTAGTTTACCGATATAAAAAGTGGCTTATTCAGTAAGCTTTTAGGGGAAACTTTATACAAAAAAACAAAAAACATCCATAAAGAAAGATTAATTCACACACAACTTTATCCATTCAGGACTTAAAAGAAAGAGGATACTGAGTCCATATAAGCATAGTGGTGGGCTTGAATAGATTAGCAACAAAAAGAGAAAAGTGGTACATTTGTTGGTTCATTTTCCCTTCTAACTTGATGAAGAGAATCATACACAAAACAGGGGCCACCAATGTAATCAAGGGCCCGTCACCTCCGTGACTTTGACCTGCTCAAACACACATCGGCCCCCTCAACTTGTAATCRAAAATATTTACAACCACGAAACAACAATTATATATCATCATCATCCACTCAGGACTGAAACTCGACTGTGAGAGCACGCCCGTCTTTTTTGCATTGCGCTCCCACTTTGCACGCCTCCAACATCATCGTTTCAGTTGGAAGGAAGGAATTAAACAAAACATGTTTTTTATGTCAACTGCCCGAGTTTGATTTGATTATAGAATAGAATGCCCTCATTTTTGCTGCAACAAGTGTACTGTCACCATAACTAGAAACATGGGGAAGGCCTTCAAACCAACACCTGCACATGCTGCCAACAGACAAACATATTCAAGTGCTGAATTACTGAAAGACTTGAAAGAATGACAGCCATGACATCGTTATTAACTTACATGATGGTTGCAAAATTGAACCCGATGGTGTCATGTCAGGAGGCTCTGTATCAGCATCACTTTTTGAAGGTGGATGAGTATGCGCAAAAACTACATTTGGCAATGGGCTTGATGCAGGGATTGTTTCCGGTACAGGTGGTGGTGGTGGTCGTGGTGGTGCCGGTGATGATGGCGGTGATGGCGGTGGCGGTGGTGGCGGCG